CGGCTATTTATTCCAGTACAAAACTCCAAATCTTCCTGCACAAAAAGATCTAACACACCTTGTCCGCCATGTTTTTTTATAATGCTTGTACATGTATGCAAAAATCAGAAAATAAAGTGACAAATTAACCAAAAATCGTCATATCTAAATAAACGTCTCGAATGAAAAGTTACGATACAAACATGCAGTATTATAAAGTTTATATATACGACTGCTGCTTATTTAATCAGAAATTGTATTTATATATTATATTTCCAAACGACCGTTTATATACGGCCATATTGTATATAGCCTGTCAAAATCTTTATAACTATGATGAGTCTCTCAAAAACGCGTTTTGTGTTAACTTTGTGTTTGTATAACTCATATTCCGTAATGCAAAAATATATGCACGGCCTGCCATGCCAGAAATCGGCATTGGTATAAATGTGTAACACGTGAATTGAATTTCCTTTCGGTGGTGCATCAAGGTCAAATATTATCACTCCCAGTTTCCGCCGGGTCCTCTATGGTCCGGGTTGTCAAATGCATGATCCTTAATATCAACTTGGAAATACAAATATACTACTCAACATTTGCTAGGAATACTTTTTGTTCAATGCATTACTTTTGTATATTTGTAATTAATGTGAAAATTGATGAAAATGAATTAAATATAACTAGTTAGAAATTGATTCGTATGAAAATAAGTGTTTCTTGACGTGTGCCTGTTGCGGAAAGAGTGTGCTGGACGAAAATCAACATTTTGGAGATGACATAGTGGAAGAAATCTTGCAAATCTGGAAATGGTTGACGTAGGGTGTTTAATATCGAGTATGATGTCCGCGGGCATCACCGCCGCATGCTGCTGATGAGCCTGCGACCTTGTGATGTGGAATCTAGGCCCATTACTGTATGATTGCATGTCTTAGCTCCTGAACTGTTGTTGGTTGGACGTGGCGTGAAGGAATGGCTTTCTGCAGCATATCCCAAGTGTGCTCAATTGGATTTAAATCCGGGGACCTCGCGAGCAAATCCATGCGGACTAAAGTTGCCTCCTCAAGATATCGGTTTGTGCTGAGAGCTCTGTGTCCACTAGCGTTGTCATCAATAAGAATGAAATCAGGGCCGACTGTGCCAGCTTACGTGCGTAACATGGATGTCTAAGATTTCATTGACATACCTTACTGCCGTCAGTGTACCGTTTTCAATGATGAGTAGGTCCCTTTCCCCTAAGCGCTTATTCCCGCCCACACCATGACTGAACACCCGCCAAACGGTCGTGCTCTGCAACGCATGCTGGAGCTAAGCGTTCAGTTGGACTTCTCCAAACCCTAGCCCGTCTGTCCGCGAAGTCAACGCAAAACCTTGACTCATCAGTGAAGAGGCCCGGGGTCCAATCATTAACTAACCACATGACATGAATCTGCGCCCATTGCAAAAGCTCTTGAATATGGCGTTGTGTCAAAGGAATATGAATTGCTGACCTCCGTGACCTCAGCCCAGCATCATACAACCTGTGATAACAAACACACCAGTTGCGTTCTGGAAGTCGTTACGTATGGTCGTTGCGTTTGAGCACCGTTCGCGCTTAGCCTGAAGAACAATAAATCATTCCTGGGCTTGAGTCTTTGAACGTGTCGACATCCGGCGTGGCCCTGCGAGACATTTCCAGTCATTTGGAATCGGTTCCACATCCTGCAAACAACGCTCTTGGATACCCCAAGGACATGGGCAACGTGCCTTTGTGAACGGCCACCCTCTAACATTCTAATATCCCTTTTCATCTCATCTTGATTTAGACGACGTCTAACCTGTCGATTTGCCATATTTTGTTAATTTCTAACACATTTTTATAATATAACGAGATAAGTCTTTCTGCTTGTACACATTTGATTAAAAGAACATGGCCATAAAACACCAAATATCCATGGGTATGCTTTTCCATGTGCTTATCATGCAAGGTGTACATGACAAATCGACAACTGAAGTACACGATTATGAGGTCACTGTACATGTGTATCGTTAGCGGTAATATGACTTTAAATGATAATAATAGGACTGATATAAACAATGTCAAAAAGGTGATCATAAGCAAATTTTGAGTAGTATATATATCATATATATAATGAAAAAGGTCACTGTATATGTTCTTTCTTTATTGTGCATTTCAACAAGAATGGTGTATTTACACACACAAATACTTGATACTTAGTAATAACCCATTCTAAATTGTTGATCGAGGATTATTCTAGGATAATTACTACCAAAGGAATTGGCAATTGAAGAAAATGAAAGAGGAACTCGGATATCTATTTCTACGAGCGTGTATACAATAATATTGGTTTAAACATCAAATAAACATGTTTCTCAGATGTCAAAGTAAGAAAAGGGTTGTACTTAATTGAAAAATGCTTTACGTCAAGTTAAACCCTCAAAATATACATAAATGGTATCGGTCCAAACGCGCTGCGTTGCAATATAATCCAACGCCGTTCTGCGTTGAAAACATTTTTTGTCAACCATTGATCAGTACCTGTCCTTTGGTTCCATGGCAGACTCAGTTATTCAGAAGGCTTACGCCAGGTTAAAGTTCCTTTTCCTTTAGAAAGATTTCCTTACACAGCATACTATCTATCTGTCTGTCTGTCTTTCTGTATGCATGCCTGCCTCCCTCCCTTCCTACCTACCCACCAACTGACCCACCTACCTACCCACCCACCGACCCACATACCTATTCACCCACCCACCCACTCACCTTTCTACCCACCTACCTACCCACCCACCTACCTACCTAGCTACACACCCACCCACCTACCTACCCACCAGTCTACCTACCTACCTACCTGGTCCACTCTCATTTATGAATTTGTAATTAATGAATCGAGCATACAGCGCAACCTCTCATGGCCAAACCGCTTGGGTAACACATATTTTGTTTGTTGCTGAGATGTTGCTTTGAACAGAATGAAGATTTTGTGAAGTTCAATTCAAGATTTGAGCATGTACAAACTGGTATAGATGATAAATGTTGTGTAGCAGCCGTAAACTGTTGATCCTACCTTGATCTCATTGTTGTCACCTTTATCAATTCATTAAATGTTTAGGATTAAGTCCCGCTTAAAATTGATTGGGACTAGAGGGCTTTCATTATCTTGCATGTACATACACAATTAAAAGGAACCTACAATTTTCCACTATCCCGATTTTTGGAAAATGCGTCTACAAATATGGTAGGTGATGTTTTTGATACAGTTTGACACTGTAACAAGATAAAAGGAACTGCTGATTGTTCCACGGAAATATTTGAACAGTTCGTACACATGCGTTAGAAAAGTTTTAAAAAATGATTCAATTAAAACTTCGCGCTTTAGGATGAAAAATAATAAACGAAAAAAATATTCAAATAATTATTTCCCAACCTTCTTTGGTGGTTCTGCATTTGTCAGTAATGTTTCCGTTTCCGAGAGATCAAGGTGACACACACTACTTAAATTCACAGATACAGTGGCACAAGATCATGTGACCACTTCTTTAACGAATGTCTTAACGTTTTCGGTTGATATGTATTTTAATATATTTGTTGGTTCAATACTTTCACACTCGTCAAAGGTTTTGGCTTAAATAAGTATACAGACATTGAACGTTTCCACATGAGAAATGGTAAAACGATCTTAAAGGCCTTTTATGTCCGAGAAATGCTTTCATTTTTTTTTCTCAAAATCTGTTTATTTTTTGTATTATTTCACAATTTCCAATAAGTAACTCATTGACCTATTACGGAACCATCTCCTTCTTCTGTTGCTTTTTTGGCAATTAGTATATTTTAGGTGATTTAGTATTTTGTATGGAAGTCAATGTACTACTTTGTTCACAGTTTTGTACTTTTTATGACATATTATTTTACATTTAGCTGTATTTTCTTCACGTAGCAACCACCTTACATGCTCTACAACCATTATATAAACGGTATAAAATCATATTCCAGCTTTCTAAAGAAGTAAATATTTATTCACTTCTGATCGATATTTTGCCGTATAATGTTAGATTTAATAGAATCTACATGTTATGCTAGTTTATATGAATAATAAGGTTGATATCCTCTTTTTATTTCCAGATATGTTATAATTATTAAATTCTGGTGTATATTGATAAATTGATAATACTAAGACAATATAAGTTTACGTAAAGTTTATAAAAAAAGTTTATTCGTTATAGAATTGGAGACAATTATTAGAACATGCCCTCTTTATACAGTGATACAATCAATACAATTTGTTTTACAAACAAACATTTTGAGAAACTTGCAAACAACAAGGAGTTCAGTATTTGGGGCACGATTGCAAAACAATCAAAAAATAAAAATAAATAAAAAAAATATTGTCCATCACAATAACTAGAAACCTCGCGAAACTTATCGCATTGACAAAAAGAGGTCTAATAAATGTTGAACTTCAATTTTAAAAAGACATGAAGCTCCTTTTGATTTTAATTTTGATAGGTTATATAAACCGCTTAAATATTTTACTTAAGGGTTTTTATAATCGAGCTTCTTTTTTTTAATTGAAAATAACAGAAGTAAGGCAAAATTAATTTGCATTCAAGAATTCAAGAATTCATTTATTTTAAAGTAAGGATATAATAGAATTTCCGAGTCATAACGCTTCAGAACTTAACATAATTCCCTCAAAGGTAACATTTGTTTTACCTCACTCAAGGAGTTCATTGCACGGCAGGCATTCCTTTGCAGCCATTTTACGCTTGCGTAGGACACTGCTTTTAAAATATTTTGGCTGATTATATCCGTCTGCTTCTATTATATTTGCAGTCATCTAAAAAATTATTTTAAAATGACGAAAATTATATGATTATAACACGTAAGATTTTTTATAGACTTTACTTGTGCGTTGGTAGTGACCTGTATTATCACTTTAAAAGAAATGAATATACACCAAAGTGTAGAAAATATTTAAGGCGCAGAAAGTTTTGAGTTTTTAGTTACTTTAGAACATATTTCTCATTCAGTCAAATTCACAAACGCTACTCAATGCATAAAGGCATGACACATCGTTCCACTTTTTCCACTTTTCACTGTCGACGTTTGTTCTGCCAACTACGGCTATACAATTTTCGTTGCCACCTCTATTACTTGGTTCACTTGATAACCAGTTTTCGAAATATTCATCAACTCTGCTCCCATCCTCCCAAATAAAATTACGTGTATTTTTAATGACTGTTGCTCCAATCCATATACTTTCTTCAAACGCTGAAACAGAATGATTAACAAATTGCTGAATACGAGAAGAATCTATTGGTTTTAACATTAACATAAATATAATGCATTTAACAACACGTCATTTATAGCGTATAAAATTAACTAATAAATGATTCAGCTTATTCTTGTAATCTTATTATACGATAAAATGTTTAAAAATAAAAAAATACTTACCTCCAAGTTTGTCTATGAACGCATTTTCTCCCTGTGACTTTATGTCTAAAAGATGTCCCCCAAGCTCCGAACAATGATTCTAAAATGGATATTGCATATTTTTAACAAATATTTCTTTCGGTAAATGAAACACATTATTCTTGGAAATATAGAACATAACATGTTTTAACTTGATGCAAAGAAGTTATTTTATGCTTTAAATTCTACTCACACTATGAATATGTAGTGTCATTAAAAAAATGGCAATTTTTTTTTAAAGGACCAGCTGTTAAATAAAACATATTCAGTAAGATTGTTTGAGATTTCAATAAATTTTTGCAATAGAATTACCTTTATTGGCCCAAAGAGACGAAAAATAACAACTAAGGAAAGTCTCTGTTTTGATTAACAATATTTATGCTAATAAGGTCCCCAACATCTTGGCTACTATGTAAAATAATGTTATGGTCATGATCATATGACCCATCATAATTTGAATGGTTATATTTCGTTTTCTTTGAATCCGAATCACTACTCCTTTCACCAACGCAAATCCATAGTTACTAAATCTATCAAAATATAAATGCAACATAAATTGAAATCGAAATATTTTCGTCGACAATACATGCGTCGACAATAAATGCTTAGTTTTGTTTGATGAGCAGGGATTTCACTCAAAAATAACATCAAAGTTGATGTTTGAACACAATAAAATTATACATGTACATTAATTTATTTTACCTTCGCATCAAACCATGTCTTCTTTTCTGTAACTACCAAGTAAGCTGAAATATATAAATTCACAAAAAGAAACAAATCAGTTAACATGTAATTGAAATAAGATAAATTGATAAGTAAAGAATGTTGCTCTCAAATACTAGTATTTTACAGCGTGCCTGCTGATTTTAAGTAATGGATTTAGCTTTGAATTTTGAACAGTCCATACAAAGTTACGGGTTATATATAAATATACAAAACTTGAGCTACCAACAAATTATATATAGAGACCGGCAAATCTGCAGGGTTGTAAAGACTAGTAAGCGTTGGTGATGAATTTCATTATCTGTTACAGTGTGAAGAAACTTTTTCACTAAGAAAAAGGCATTTAGATCATCAATGCATTGAAAAAGTCTAAATATGAAATGTAAACAGATACAAAACATTATGATAAGTACAAACGCTTTTTGTATATTTGTTAAAGAAATTATTATAAAAATGATTAAGATAATGATGCAATCTGATATATGACTCAGATATAATACCACCACGTGTGCCTTTTTATAAAGATCTGTCGCATTTTTAACGTTTTCACAACAATTATTTAAGAATTTTGTAGATCCTGCTATCTGAGTTTATAACGGATCTCTATAACAAAAAATGTAACGCTAATTTTTTTAAACAAAGCATATGGAAAACATAATGTCTCTCTCTCGTATGTAATAGCGCGAGATATGGGTATTCGTTAAAATATATGCCTCTATGAATTATTATCTAAATATGTAAAAGCTCATACTGTTATGTTATTCATGAATGAAATATTAAAATAAACTTGTAAACTCTATATTGGTGGGTATGGTTATCGGTTCCTTTCAACGTATTTTTGTCTAAAAGTTTCCCAACTTTACAACAGATGTTAAACATCTTTTAATTTATAAAAATACATGACAATGCAATGCAAGCAAAGTATTTTCTTTTCTTAATCAATAAAAAAGACTTATATAAGAATAACATTTTGTTCTTGCATGTGAGCCCACATATTTTTTTTTAAATAAGTCTCCAAGAAACTTAGGTAAATTAACTTACCTCGTCTGAATTGTTGTCATATTCTGCCATTTTCCTTGGAAATTATGAGGCAAGCACGTGGGACAATAACAAAATCCATAAGTCAAAAATCAAAAGTCATATATTTAAAGTCATAAATCAAAAGTCATAAGAAAATAGTAAAATAAATATATAAGTCGAAACTCAAAAGTGACCCTCCAAGGCTTCCATAAAATTGACATTTACATTTTTTGACTGTGCGTCGAATTCATTCTTGCTGATTTTAATATTAAAAAGAGGCGAACGGCTGATGATGTTACTCAAATTTTGAAGACATTTAAACATAGATACCCTATATCTTCAAAAGAAAATTAACTTTATAGGTATTGTTTGGAATAATTAATGACGAAATGTTGACATTTACGAATCGTATCTTAAAATGATTTATCAACATGAGAAAATGTAAGTTTATGTGACTTTAAAAGAATGCCGCTCCTCATCGGAAAATGTGACATTTTTTTAAATAAAAGTTCACTACACCATGTACACTGGGCCAGTTGGTATATGTTAAAAATAGATGAATATTTACCGTCCGTCAATTGTGTTTTTTTACACCGACATGTATATACTAGTACGGTTGTCGGTGGTTGAATGGTTGTCTGCCAATTTGACGGTGTGAGAATTGTAACTACGGAAGTCGAGTGTGTCATACTAATCAAATACATAACTCCAGAAATCGGAAGTATCATACATATATAATACATAACTCCGGAATTCAGAAGTGAAATACATAACATATACATGTACCTATTAAAAGCCCATTTGGCATAAAACTTTTGACTGTGCGCCCATATGGCATATGGCCAGTCAAACAATAATGTTTATAATTAATAACAATTACGGAAATCGGAAGTGTCATACTAATATATACATAACTCTGGAAGCCGGAAGTATACAAATTAAAATCCCATTTGGCATAAAACGTTTGACTGTCCGCCCATATGGCGTATTGGCAAGTCAAACAATAATGTATAAAAAATAGTTACTTCGGAATTTGGAAGTGTCATATTAATTATCGTAAACATGTACACATTAAAAACCCATTTGGCATAAAATACCTTGCCATATTGGAAAGTTAAACATTTAAAGCCCATTATGCCCCAGAAATTGTGCTATCAATTTTATTTGTCAAATAAAAAGTTTTTTTTTACAGTTTTCGAAAAATACTTGTTCACCATATGCATGAAGTTTTTGTTACTTTTGTTATGTTGGTAATTGGCATAATTATAGTGAATAAGTATTTTGTATGCAAGTCAAAATACTACCTTGTTTACATTTTGCTTTCCCCGTGACGCATTTCTGCAAATTCAGTCCCACTTTCTATGTTAAATGTTCCGAATCCGTTACTATAACATTATAAGCAAATTTTGACATTTCATTTTCTTAAGAATTAAGAAAATAAAAATTATGAACCTTCAAGGCAAAATTTACTGTAAATATATAAATTTAGTTAATCCGTAAGTCGGCCGGGAAACCGGAAATGTCATACTGAATACATACATAAATCTGGAATAAATATAACTTATAATATAAACCATGTGCTTCGGATGGCAAAAGAGAAAATCATGAATTACTGCTTTAATATATTTTGAATATGACATGAACATAAACATGATATTCACAAACTATGTGAAACATATATTCAAAGTTTTTACACTAAACGTTATGATGGAAATTAACTCAATACAAATATCTAAAAGAAGACCCATGACTTGTAAAGGGAGATAACTGTATAAATATGAACATAATAACATGCCGGGATTGTCTCCCTTCTAATAAACTGCATGAATGAAATAGAAGATTTCGAATAATGATTATTGTATAATAGTATATAATTATCATACAAATACTTCCACATGTTGGCTAAGATTTGTTGCAACTGTAGGAGTAAACCACTCAACGTATCTCTGTGTTGGAACTCAGGGCCTTACAGGAAGAGGACTTGAAGATGGAGGTTCAGGTTCAGGGTCAGGTACTGGTGTTTTAGCCTTTTTTGACCGTTTTAATCGTTTGTTGTCACCATGAACTTGTAAAAGTTCGTTCAAGGGTTGTACTATTTGGACATAGTTCGGGACAAATTTATGATAATACCCTGTAAATCTGAGGAACTGTCTTAGTGTTTTTAGATTTATAGGGGATATGCCAATCTTGTTTAACTGTAAGTTGTTTGGGTCTGTGGCAATACCATTTGCAGAAAAAAACATACCCTAAATATGTAACCGAAGACTTGAAAAGATTGACACTAAGAAGGCTTGACACGCATATTAGGGTCGTTGAAAGACAGACTCTAATAGAAATATGATCCTCAAGTGTGGACGAAAATACATGTATTAAAATGTCATCTGAAAAAAAAACAAAAACATTCCTTGATATGCATATCGCCCATACATTTTCCCACGCAACGCTGAAAAGTAGGGAGGGCATTTGTTAAACCAAATTCCCTTTTATTCCACTCATAGAAACCTAAGTTTCCTACAGAAAAAGCAGTTTTAGGCTTATCACAATCTGCTAAACCAACATTCAGTATGCAGAATGAAGGTATGTTTTAGAAAAATACTTTGAACCAGATATTACATCAAAAATGTCGTCAAAACGGGTTACATGTCTGCATCTCTGTGTGTTCTGTTGTTCAATCTACGTCAATCAACACAAACTCTAAAGATACCTGTGAGGGTTTCGTACATGGACAACATTTGAGGAAAAAGGCGACTTAGATTCCCTTATAATATTGGCATCCAACATTTCTCTAATGTGCTGCCTAGCCTTCTCATATAGAGCTGGAGGAATTCTGAGATTTGGTTCTTTTAAAGGTGTTTCATCTTCAAATTCTATATGATGTTCAATTAAATCAGTGGTTTGGATTTCTTTAGTAAATGTTCAAAAAATACTTTTCCATTTACCAAGAATTTGATAAAATCGTTTGTTCTGATATATGATTGGAAGTATCAACTGAAATATCCTTGATTGGCGGTCCTGAAGGGATCCCAATAGTTTATATGAAGACATATCATCTATCATTTTAGCTTCAGTTATAGTACAGGTTTTAATGTCAATATTTTAGCAGCCATGTTACAAACCTTGTCTGATATTTCGCAGAAACAGCATTATGTGTTGTAATGACACGTTGACAAACTGTATACCCTTGAAAAATCTCAGGACTTTCAAAGACCACAAAAGATATAGACTGATTAAGATTTCTAGCAATACCATTAAGTGTGATACTCTCAAATGGAGGTATTTTTTACAATTGTCTTTAGAATTTAAAGGCTCAAATGCAGACTTATTTATATTAGAAAACATTGAACCTGAAACAGACATTTAAAGTTATATCAATTTACAACAATTATAACACTGTGTTCATTTGCAAGTCAGTCCAATAAGATTCTTTACAATTAAACTATGTTGAGTCTTACTAGATTTATTTACCAATTATTTGGGTTCTTTGACATCAAGATAACCAGCCTCTATTCTACCCGAAACAGAGGCGTCTATAAGTTTGATTTGTTCGTATCAAGAGGTTAAGTTCTTCCATAACCGCTGCCTCCACCTCTGGACTAAAATCTAGAACTAAATTTTAAGTTGTTTCTGTTATTTTTGTTGATGTTGTTTATGCTTGTATGGGAAAACTGTTGTTATTGTTGTTGTTGCTGAAATTAGAACTTTGATTTCCTAATTTCTAAAGAATTAATTTAAACTCGGAATCAATATTTGCTTCAAAATAATCTTTAAAACATGAAAGATTAGATTCCATATTGGTTATTTCAACTATATTCTATATACCTTATCAGTAATTAACCTGTGTTACAGATGATGCAGCTACTCATTCGCTAATATCGTCTTTGTCATACAAAAAAATATAATTTCATTTAAGTCATAGAAAGAGCATCGAGACCCAATGCTATCTGATTTGTACGAGGGGCAGTAGCCTTAGAGTATAAATCAGAATGCCGAATGTCTTGATATTCTTTCCCTTTTGTATCATATGCAAAATAAAAACACGTTCCCTGCTGTCAAAATATGAAACCCCTGAAAAAAAAACAATAACCGAGCACTTGAATATGACATTTCTATCGATAGCCCTTTGTCTGTCGTCACATTAAGTATACCCCAGAAAAAATGATCCAATAAATTAGCTCTTGAGTGCCGGTAACGAATACCTGTACTCAAGTGAACGCAATGTGCATGTATGTGTAGACAATTTAACTCTGACACATTTTCAACAGAAAGGTCTCCAAACTATGATTCAATTGTTTTATTGCTCCGCGCGGAGCTATTTGTGTTTAATTTTTTTTGTCCATGGACCCGATTTTTATCGATTAATACCTTCTATTTACAGCAAAAAATAAATCCGATATCAAGAATTCCTTTTGATTTTTATCATGTAAATATTCATAAATGAGAACGGGAACAAATTTCACGCCTCAACCACTGGGAAGGCAGTATAAAAGATTAAACAAAAGGAAACTTGAATTCGGTAATTTATTTCTTACATTTGTATCTTCTACAGAAAATTACTGTTTTTTTTTAAGTACATAGTGGATGATGTCTGCATGTTATTGCTGTACATGAATTCGAAAGCTATAAATAGATAGCCTTATAATATTGTGAAAGTCCGAAAATCTATTTATTGAAGTAGTTTTAGTTTTGAGTCTGAAACTAAACGAGACGGTCATTCGTGTCGCGCTATGGTAAAAAATAACAAACTGGAGAATTTTGCAGGAAATGAAATGCAAACATATTAAACACTTAATTGCACTCTTTATAAATTTATCGAAAAAAATTAAGTTGGCATTGTTTTAACGAATAGTTACATCATAGTATTATCATTTTGAAATTGTATTTCCGTAGGTTCTTTCCGGTAAAATAATAGGTGCCATCTTTTTTACGACCCTGATTGCACTTCTGACATTTTTTTACCGTGAATATTAAAATCGACTCTGATTTCCCGATTTTTTGCTGTAAGAAGTTGATTCTGTTTTGTTCCAAGGCAATCGCTTTAATAATGGTTTGAGTGGAATGTTGATTTTCTGAATACTGTGACATTCTAACAACACAAACGTTCGTCTGCAGTTTTAACATTGGGTGTTACTGGTTGGTCAGACGAGGATTTTGAAGTAATTCAACAAAATAGTATATTGATCTCCCGATCAATCAATTAATATAGCCCTTTATTACCAATGTCACCAATGTCAAGTAGCTTTTATATCTTTGACTAACGAACATGTTGTTAGTGAATTTCCTCATACCTGTCTAAAATTCAGGTAACAGTCTTCCATTATATTGATAAATAATGTTTTACCATAACGTGTACATGTATAACAAAAGAGTAGGTATAACCGTGAGACAAATACGCTGAATGGCGTTGAATGGTGCGAAAAAGTTCTTGTGGATGTGAAATCTAGCTACTTTGTCTATAAAATACGGAAAGGCGTGGCAAAGATTGTAGAAAAAAATATAACATGTCAATAGGCGTCCTTTAACTGGCCCAAGCATAACACCATATATTTCAAATGTATTAAATCCACGTGGAAAGTAACGGTTATTTAAATGTGTCTTCTTAAGGATTAAGCAGACACTTCTTGAATAGCTGTGCCGGGGGTATAGTCGTATAACTATATAGACCGATCGATATGTATCGGTGACGTTCTACTTTTTAAAAGAAGTATTTATATTCTATCCTAAAAATGTTCATAATCAATTATTGGTCAATCACCATTTTTACAGCCAATCTCTTGACATATACTAATATATTTATTCATTTCATAAATGGCACTGATTATTAGCGTACAAATGGCACGTAATATTCAAATGAGCAGTAATTTATAGATGAAAATTAAACCTGTAAAAATATTTTTTTAGCCGTACAAAATCCCGATTTTACGTCTTTACTAAATTTACGACAGTATAATCCTTTCACGGGCGTACAGAATCCAGATTTAACGTCAATACTTAATTTACGCCCGTAAAAATAGAACGTTCTCTTTAAGTATGATTTAATTTATTTGTTTAACATCTAAAGAATACTAGTAAGCTGATTACCCATGTTCCATTGTCGCATTATATCTTTTTTTTCTGAAACCCGGAAAAGTTGAGAAAATTAACAACAAATGATCACAAACACAAAACTTGGTCCTAAGATAGATATATATCCAAAATTGTTGTTTTTTTTCAAGGTTTATAAAACTAATTTTATTTTCATATCTACAAATTAAACTGTTTGTTAAAAAGAATGTCATTCGTCTGTATCTATTTATCTGTAGTAAACCATGTACAGTTTATTTCTAATTTTGCAAAAATCTATGCTTATAACACAAATGAATATCAAAGAACTTATGCGTTAGTTTGATCAGTATCATCACTTTAGAGAAAGAAATATAGATAAATAATTAATTGTAGAAAATATATAAGTGATTGTTTTCAAAATAAAAACTGACTTTTTCAGTCAAATTCACAAACGCTACTCCATTGTTCATAACATGGCGTATCGACCCACACATTAGCTTTATTAATCTTTACACAATTTTCGTTGCCTTTTGCATTATTTGGTTCATGTGATGACCAGTTTTCGAAATAATCATCAACTTTGTTCCCATTCTCCCAAATAAAAATCCGTGTATTTTTAATGACTGTCGCCCCAAGCCACGTGTCTGTTTCAAACGCTGAAACAGAAACAATAACATATTGCTGGAAACGTGTAAAAAATAACAATGGGTTTAAACATTAACAAAAATATAATGCATTTAATAGTACGACATTTATATTGTTTGACAAATAAATGTTTCAGCTAATTCTTGTGATCTGATCATGCAATTAAATGTTAAAAATAAAAGAATACCAACCTCGAAGTTTGTCTACGAGTGTGTGTTCGTCCTGTGACATTATGTCTAAAAGATGACCCCCAAGCTCCGAGCAATGACTCTACAATGGATATTGTATATTTGTAACAAATATTTCTTTCGGTAAATGAAACAATTATATATTTCAAGATATACTAAAAGTATGCTCAAAGTTGATATTTGAAATAATTGATGATTGTTACACAGTCTTTTTGAAAATATAGAGTAAATATGGTTTTACGTAACGCAAAGAAGATATATTATGTTTTAAATCCTACACACACTATGAATATGAAGTGTCATTAAAAAACCAGCGTTTAAATAAAACATATTCAGTAAGATTTTGAAAGATTTCAATAATTTTTTGCGATAAAATTATCTTTATTGGCCCAAAAAGCCGAAAAATAGCAACTAAGGAAAGTCCTTTTTGTGTTTTCTTTTTAATTTACAATATTTATGCTAATAAGGTCCCCACCATCTTGGCTACTATGTAAAATAATGTTATGGTCATGATCAAATGACCCGTCATAATTTGAATGGTTATATTTCGTTTTGTTTGAATCCGAATCACTACCGCTTTCACCTTAACTTATTCTACAACGCAAATCCATAGTTACCAAATCTATCAAAATATAAATGCAAAATAAATTGAAATCGAAATAATTTCGTCCACGATACATGCGTTGACAATACATGCGTAGTTTTGTTTGATGAGCAGGGATTTCTCAACTCAAAATTAACATCAATGTTGATATTTGAACACAATAAAATTATACATGTACATTAATTTATTTTACCTTCGCATCAAACCATGTCTTCTTTTCTGTAACTACCAAGTAAGCTAATATAAATTCACAAAAAGAAACAAATCAGTTAACATGTAATTGAAATAAGACACAATTGAAAATTAAAGAATGTTGCTCTCTGATACTAACATCTTGCCTGCTGATTTTAAGTAATGGATTTAGCTTTGAATTTTGAACTGTCCATACAAAGTTAGGATTTCCATATACATATACTAAACTTGAGCTACCAACAAATTATATATAAAGACCGGCAAATCTGCAGGGTTGTAACGACTAGTAAGCGTTGGACAAAGAAAAAGACATTAAGATCATCAATGCATTGAAAAAGTTTAAATATGAAATGTAAACAGATACAAAATATCATGGTTAGTACAAACACTTTTGTATATTTGTTAAAGAAATTATTGTAAACATGATTAAGATAATAATGTAATCTGATATATGTCTCAGATATAATACCACCATGTGTGCCTTGTTATATAGACCTGTCGCATACTAAACGTTTTCAAAAGAATTATTTAAGAACTTTTAAGATCCTGCTATCTGAGTTTATAACGGATCTCTATAACAAAAAATGTAACGGTAATATATTTTGTTTGAAACAAAGCATATGGAAAACATAATGTCTCTCCCTTGTATATAAAAGCGCGAGATATGGGTATTCGTTAAAATATATGCCTCTATAAATTATTATCTAAATATGTTATAGCTCATATTATTATGATATTTATGAATGACATGTAAACTCTATATTGGTGGGTAGGGTTATTGGTTCGTTCAACGTTTTTTTGTCTAAAAGTTTCCCAACTTTACAAGAGATGTTAAACATCAATAGATTATTTTTAATTGTGTCATCTCTATCTTTGATATTTCTAGTTTTTTTTTAATGATAAAATATTAGAATAAGAATAACAAGTTACATCGACGTCTAAAGAATGTCGTTCCGAGGAGCACTGGAGCGTCGTCGCTTGTTAGATACTTGTCTTTGCAGCCAATACATCGGGAACTTTCCTCATGACGGAAAACACTAAAACATCCTTTGAAATCAGCACATGTTGCCAAACATTGTGATGAACTCATCTTATCTTTGAAATATATCGCATGCTGCTCTGGACAGGTAAATCCACCAAGATCAGATTCTTTTGTGAACTTGATGAATTTACTGTTATTTTCACTGAGTGTGATGACAAGCGACACACAAAACACGACAAAATATAAACAAATACGAAATTGATTTTTCTGCATTATTAGTAAATAACTATATCCTTAACTGTTAAAATATTATAATGTGTGGATAAGATGTTTAAAAATTGTTTAATTTTTCAAATGCTAACTATCCAAGAACCTGGTGAATTTAAAATTAGCTAACTATAGCTCTTTCCTTTATAACTAAACTTTAATCAATAAAATGCTTAAGACCGGTGTTTGCAAATTTATCATTAACTATGAGGTAAGCCCATCCCATCATGAATATTTCATTGGAAATAAATCTCATTTCTTGCCTCAAACATTACGTATCACAATATTGTATTTTATTGAAACATGTATGTGCACATATTACAATTACAATAAATATTGTTAAATTATGTTATGAATTCTTTCTGAATTCCAAAAATGTGATTTGCCTTTTAAGAATGATTCTGATATTGGTATTTGCCTACTTTACTTTTGAAGCGCGTTTTCAACAGAAAAAAACTACACATGTGTTACAGTATTTAAATGCGGAAAATCAAAAGCACAAACATACAGACTAATTCAGACACGTTCACTAACAATCAAGTATCCTAAATTCATTTGAGATTCTTTCGGTAGCTGACTACAACACTGTCACAATCATATCACTAAACTTCAAATAAAGATGAGATTGTAGGAGCTAGAGAGTCCATTATCGTTCATGTTGTAACATAACCAACGTGAAACGAATAGCAACATGCAATAGGATGTAAATAAACAATAACAAAATATACATAAATATAAATATACATAAATATCCAAATAAAATATCGTATTGATAACCGTAGCAATTTAACTTCCCTTTGATGAGCTATCTTAACTGTTATTATTTTAATCATTGAAATGAAAAATCTTATTTAAATAATCATTGAAATGAGCTGTTGCGCTAAATAATTTATATTAGAGAAGAACTTTAAAATTTGACCAATCTTTATTCATCCAAATTTTAACATTCTTAGACTAATAGTATCTTCAGAATATTTACTTTTGAATTGTATTGCAATGAAAATAATATTTTGAATAATAGGTTATGCTAAATAAAATATATCATTTGCTCGAAGGCCATATTTCATGATGAACCTCCTCGTGTCCATCACAACTCTCGTTTCCGCACTATTTCAATTGAATATTACGAGAGATATTTATTACAGTACGCTATAGTAAAGCGATAACTGTCAAACCATTACTGCATGAGCATTTTGTGAAAAATGGCTGTTTTCATTGAAACTTCTCCCGTTACAAGTTCAAATTGCTATAAAAGTATAAAAACTGCTTCAATACTAATCAAACTTGGCACGAATGTTGACTGAACCATTGCCTTTGTAACAACAGGTTCAGTCTTAAATTTCCTTTTACCATAGCAACGAGGGGACATCTCAAAAGTGCCAAAAATCACTATTTTGCGTTGATTTTCTGTCCATCAAAATTATTTTCAAAGTGCTTCAACTTCTCAATGGATTGAGATAGAGTCAAAAGGCTTTTCAGTGCTGATTACACGTTACCTTATGATCGATCTGGGGTCATTTTAGCCTCTCACAAGTCAAATATTTTTTTGGCGAATCTTTTGGATAAGGGCGGCGCCGAAAAAGTTATCACTTTTTTAAACATTTCTAAAAAAAACAAAAACAAAAAAACATAAAAAAACAAGTGTTGTTGGCCTAATTAAGGCTTTTTTTAACCATTTAAGACAATAAAAACAGGGGTGGGTGGGTGAAAAATCATCAAAAGGCGTGTTATAGTCGCATAAAGTACACGTAGAGTGAAAACCAAAATAAATGTATAAGAATGTATTAAAGTACATGGTTATGATATGAACCATGTTTTTAGCGACAGAATGCAGGTCAACGAGCTAATTTTTTTAGTTATCTGTCCTTGAGTTAAAAAAGTTATTCCAAGAATACATTAGATTAAGGTTACCGATACCTATTTTTCTACATTTCATGCAACTTACTCCCTTGGTCATACAACATTTCGAGAATTGGTCAAAAGTGGTTTGTTTATGTTTTTTTCTATTTTAAACTTTATAAAATGGCATACTATATGGAAAGCTCAGTAAACTTTAAAAAGAGAATAGATGTGCCGGATGGATTCCATAAACTTTTTTATTTTTATGAAGGATCAAATGACAAACATATACAAATAGTTAAAAAAAGTATGTTAGGCTTATATATAAGTTATCTACGCTTAAACAAAAAACACAATTTTCGAAAATGACCTCGGTCAAACCAAATATTTTTCCCTTAAAAATGTTTCTGTAATACCAAATATACATTTGAAACTTAACTAAGGCAATGTGTCTCGTGGTCACGACTTAGCTATCTCGTGGCCACAACTTAGTAACTCGTGGCCACGACAAAGCATCTCGTGGTCACGACTTAGCGATCTCGTGGCCACGACATAGTATCTCGTTGCCACGACATAGTATCTCGTGGCCACGATTTAGTTATCTCGTGGCCACGACTTAGTAACTCGTGGCTACGACCTAGTATCTCGTGCGCACAAGACAAATAAAAACACACACATGTCACCTTTGTGGCACCGTACTTAATTGTTGACTACTGTAGAAGTTCACAATAACATGAGACACTTCTGCCTCGTGCCTAAATTACATCGTCGAAGAGGATCGCAAGGTACTTGTGTGAGCACATAATGAAGGATTGTTGCGATTTCCGTCAATGGCCAATTCAGCTGAAAATGTAAGACCAGATGAATATGCAGTGGACGCCTGACAAACGCTAGCAGCAGTAATCTGCTGATTACATGTATAAAATATGTTTATTGATGATTTGCACATAACCAATTTACTAGAAAAATGTTTTGTTGTTGTCTTGTTTGTTCATAAGTAGTTAGTAAACCTCCTGCTTTTCGAGTTAATCACCAAATATTTTATCCAAATTGCAAATGGTGCTAGTATTGATAATGAATACAAGATTTTTTGTGAGTATTTCAAAATTTGAGATTCATTATTGTGAGAAAAGTCAAAATTAAGTTGTATTTTATTTGCTTTCAGAATAATCTGTATGATTAAATCTATGAAAATATCTATGAAAATCATTGTATTCTGATTATTAAAGATATTATATTAAGATTCGAATGAACCAAAATTGTATAAATTAAATGTGTGGAGAACCCTATTGAAGTATTTGTTGTAACACTGACTCTCCCGCAATATTTATGCTAACAATTTATATATCATGTTATTTTGATACTGCCTGATTCTGAAGCCTCATTCATTATGTACGAGTATTACTACCTCATGTTGTCATGTTTGCATGATCTGAATGAATAAATGAATTTAAAAAATGAAGACTTGAAAACTTTTGACATTGTTTTTGTTTAATCTAAAGCAATCGATACGGTCCGCGCTCTTAATATATTCACTTTCGTTATTAATAAATCCAGCATACAGTGCAACTTCATGTGACAACCGCGAGCGGGAAACAAAGATATTTATTGTTGCAGATTTGTGCCATTTCGTATTTTCGACCCTCGACTCCACCAAGCATAAAGTCGAGAATTATCTAGTTAAAATGGCGGAGGCGCTGAATGAAAACACACCAATAAGCGGGGTGCGCGGGACGAAAGTCGAGATTTAATTGTAAATGGCAGGACCGCGAATCGAAATATTTATTGTTATAGGGTTCTAAATAGCGTTCTGTTGATCGCGCCCCGCCAAATTGTTGCTCTCCGCGATTTGATATTTTCATTTAACTTGCCCCGCGGAAGGAATTAAAGGTTGAGATGGTGTCAGATTTAATAAATAAAACGTCGCATTGCGGGGCCGCGGATCGTTATTAAATTTAAAGCGGTGCGGTCGCGGTCGCGGAGCAAAAACACGCCATTGAGCGGGGGTTGGGGGCGAAGTTTAATAAACAAAACGTCACCGTGTGTGGCGCGGAGCGAGATTTTAGGAATTAAACGGCAGGGACGCGGGCGAAAACACGATAATAAACTGGGACACGAAATAAGGTTTTATTAATATACAAAAGGGCAAGGTTACGGAGCAAAAGCAAGGTAACTTACTTGAAAACTAAAACGGTAGGACCGCGGAGCGAAAACACGCTAATTAGCTGAGGCGCGGGGCGAAAAGTCTAGCTCTTTAAGAATAATTTGGCAGGGGCACGAACAACAGCATGCTAATGAGCGTCCTATAAAAATAAATATTTCGCTTTGCGACCCGCCGTATTACAATTTAATTTCGACTTTCTTTCCCGCGCATTTGCTAATTAATGTGTATTCGCTCCGCACACCCGCCCATTTTAACTTGTAAATTCTCGACTTTTGCTTGGTGGGGTCGCGGGGCAGCTACAAGAATGGCACAAATCAGCCATCATAATAGATATTAGTTGTTGCTAGAAGTTTTTGTGAATTTTGTTTAACTCGATCTTAAAAATCAATATTGAATATTAATTAATGTATAAAAAATTATGACATCATGACAGAACTTTTTTATCATCCAGTATGGTATAATTAAATATTTAATAAAGAGAAAAAGCTTTCAGAACTTTATTTTCCCCTCAGTGTCACGACTTATGTACATTATTATTTACATTAATTATTTATGTTGATAAAATAGTTAAGAATTCTATTTTAGAACTAATCAATATTTGCAATATTACTTAGTTTTTACCTGTATCTGGTAGAAATATCATATCATACTGTACTTTAGAAAGTACTGTAATATTAAAAAGGTATATGTTTGAGGCAAATTAAGGAATTTTCGTGTTATTCAAAGATTCTGTTTTTCATTTTCCTAAAGGGCATCATCAATTATATACTTTATGTGAAAGTATTTTGGACAAGAAAGTATTTGATCCAACTTATTTCAGTGATTTTTGCTAGGCTCTTTGAATTACATTTAGATTTGACTTTGCTAGAATTTGTTCACCTATTCGAATATTTTTGGAATATTTTACCAAAATACTTAAAGTAAACTTGTCCTTCGTCAGAAAATATGATAACACATGGCCTCGTGTTCTCAAAGATTTAAGGATCAAGGTTAATATCAGGATCAAATTAAAAAACTTAAGTATTTTACATTGATTATCCTCAATAGATTAAATATCTAATATTAATTTAAAAAATTTAATAAATAAAACAGGACTTGCAAAAGCAATTTTATGAAATGTTAGAATAAATTTCTTGTTATTTTTGCATGATACTGGCATTTTACAGTGGATCAAGATTGTGAGCATGTACAAATTATTT